GAAGTCAACCAATAACAAATGCTGGTGGGGCTGTGGGGAAAGAGGAGCCCTGCTCCACTGCTGGTGGGAGTGTAGACTGGGGCAACCACTGTGGAAATCAGTATGGAGAGACCTCAAAGAACTAGGACTAAAGGTCACATTTGACCCAGCTATATAGATTCGAAGCAGGCAGGTATTAAGAGAAAGAAAACAACATGTCGGGGCTGGGGATTTACCTCAGTGGTTTCGCCGCCTGCTGCGCAAGCGGAAGGACCGGAGTTCGATCCCTGGTACCAGAAAAAGAAAACAACATCTCTTGGGGAGTTGGGCTCACACTTCAAGTGCCTGCCCAGACCTCCGGGAGGTTTTCTCTGGCTCCTCCAGGCATTACCAGGACTTTTGTCTACACAACCGACCAACAAATAAGAAATAAAAAATGGTCTTCTTACTGAACTGTGTCCTTCACTGTTGTCCACAACCAGGCACATAATAGCTCCTCAATCTGTATTTGTTGAATGGTTGCCACGTATTCAGAGTATGGTGCTCAGACGACAAATTCAGTAACTCATCTGTGGGAACCATAGTTCTCGTGTGGGTGAATCCTGGCCGCTGCAGAGTCGCAGCTGGGCATCGCCGTTGCCCACTGTGACCTCGCCGCCCCTACCCTCTCCTTGCAGGACCTGGAGCATCGAGGTCACGTCGCGCGGGCCGCGGGGAAAACTACATTTCCCAGCCGACTCTCGGCGCCCGTGCCTTGCGCGGGACGAGTGCCTTGGGCGCGTGCTTCCCCCCCTCCCCGCGCTCACCGCCTGCCGTGCCCCGCCAGGGATGCGGTGGGCGGCGCTAGAAGGCCCTTCTCTCCAGCCAACCGCCGGTGCCCCACTCGCGCGCTCCCCCCGCCGGCGGAAGCGCCCGCGGAGCACAATGCAGCACTGAGGCAGCGCCGCGCTGCAGGTTGCAGCTCCGAGCCTGCGACAGCGGGGCGCGGGGCGCGGTGGGAAGCATGAGCAGCCCCTGAGCGGCGGAGTACCCGGCGTGGCGGGGACGGCGGCACCATGCGGGCTGCGGCTGCGTCCCTACCCTTCGTGCTGCTCTGCGCCCTGGGGACCTGCCCCTGGGTTCGCTGCGGCCCGGCAGGTAAGGTCCCCCCCGTCCCCCCGCGGCTTCGGGACAAACCCTTCCCACCATCTTCGAAGCCCCAGACACATTAAAAAGGGGCGCTCCCATTTCCCAAGTGCACGGGGAGATTTTTTTTTTTTAATTTTTAAGGGTGGTGAGAAGTGCATCAAAAATACATCTGTGGGGGCGCGCGGGTGCCTTGGAAGCCTTAGGTCAGGAGCCTGTTTTCCTTCTGCAGAAGGAAATGGGGGGAGTGGGAAAGGGGTGCTGTGTTTCCGGGCCGCAATCTTGGATGCTCAGGGCTGGTCCAGGGCGCTCCGGCCGGCGTCTCCCAGCTGGGGTTGGGAGAGGGCGGTGGAACTGGGGCTGCAGAGATGTAGGGCCGCAGGAGGGAAGCGTGTGTGGGGCGCAGGGTCATTATTTTTGCCTTTTTTCTCCACTCCCTCCTGCTCCCCTTTCCACCTGGAAGGAGACGCCTCTTTGACCAAGCTGCAGAGGGGGAACGAAAACCGCTTCCCGGAGCGCCAGAGCATCGTGCCCCTGCGCCTCATCTACCGTTCAGGCGGCGACGACGAAACTCGACACGACGAGCTCAACACGCGAGTACGGGGCGACCCCGGTGGACTGCAGGTGAGGTCCAGGCGGGAGGGGCTGTCGGCTCCGCCCGGCCCACCTGGGACCCCACGTTTGCTCCCAGTTGCCCTGGAGACGGGATGTGTTGGGTGAAAGGAGAACCATCCTAATGCGAGTCAGGCATGGCACTCCCTGCCTGTTCAAAACGAAGGGGGAAAAGACAGAAAAACCCAAAGCAGAGGCTTTGCTGGCGGGGGTTGGTGCCAGCTGCCTCCAGCAGCGCTGTAACCTAAGCCGAGGGGCGGGCAGTGAGGAGATCGCTCACCTCAGCCCCGAAAAATCCGCGCGCAGGAGTGGAGATTCAGGCCTGTCAGGGTTGAATCACTCTTGCCTTGGAGAAGACTTTATAACCCAGCATTGGTACCAGGAAAAATGGGGAAAGACTAACATTCCTAGGAAACCCAAACTGTAAAAATAAGCCAAACTTGAAACTTTTCTGCTTAGATTTTTGAACACCAGACATGTGCCTACTCATTTTAACTGTCTACAGATGTTCTCCTTCCCCTTTCTTCATCGGCAGCAATCCTCTTGGTGAATTTAGGGCTGTATTATTTATTGAGCATATATAAATTATGTTTTAAAAACCTAATTAGTTTTGTACCTGTGTTTAGATCAATACCATCCATCCACAGATGTGCCAGAAAATTATTTTGAACTTACTGGCTAATATTAGGAAATATTTTGGGGGCCATGTAAATT